TCATAAATCTGGTCCTTCACCGTCACGTGTGTATTGTATTTTTGCCCAACTAACCAATAGCAATGTTTTAGGAAAGTTACCTATCTGTGACTCAAACAATAGGGAAATTGGTATTGGTGGATTTGGCAAAAATACAATACACACATGACGGTGAAGGACCAGATTTATGAATAAACGTTGACTAACATAGATACTGAATTATATTGTTATTCTAATGAGTTTCACAGCCATGTTCCCTTCGATAGGCTATAGTTTGAATAAAGTTTGTTTGTTTGTTTGTTTGTTTGTTTTATACATGAATCGCTATAAACATCTTGCTATATCCATTTATCTTAATATTCCTCGGGATTTTTCAAGAACGAACTCTCTTAATACGATTTTTACACTAGACGAAAAAGCCATATATCTGCCTATTATGCCGTTTTGCGTCATTTGTCTGTACTGAACAGGCAACACTTTTTTCGTCCGTCTGAAATGCCATGTCAATATCAAAATTCTTATAGGCGTACCTGACGCGTTGACCCCGTTCCCCTATATAAATAAATATCTTTTTAAAATATTTAAAACGAATACCATATTTAAGCCACCACGTCAGCCTCTTCTCTCTCGTAAGATAAAATTGGAGCTAGCCATCTTTCTATTTCCTCCATGCCCATATGTTTTCTCTCTGCATAATCCTTAACCTGGAATAACAATGGCAATTGTATATATATTCAAACTAAGTCGAGACATATTCTTTTATGAGCTAAAGACAGTGATAATGTAGGGGCATCGTAATATGTAATGCAGTACTAGCATCCTCGATAGCTGAAAAGCGCAAGATAGCGATCAGTATTACAACCAACTAGATTCGCTCAAAGTTATCATTTGCTCTTCTCCGCTATGTTACTACCTCCTCCGCAGGCCATACAGCCCATGAGTATGCCCGTTCACCGGTTGAAATTTGGCTATGTTCACGTTCTTTACGGAATTGACGCTGGCAACATTGAAATTGCTTCCGCAATCAGCCAACATATATTTTGATCTTTGACAATAGTTTTGCTATAACATTGACAATTTCTGACAATCAAGAGAACTTGATCATATTATTTGGAGTTAGTTAGCGTAGGAAGTTTATTATGTTCATATATTGAGTATATTGTTATATGTTATTAAAAAAATTACACATGCAAAAAAAAATGTAGGGGTGATCAGTCATGAGTCATATAAGGTTATTATGTAGTAAGGTCATAAGGTTATTAAGGTTATCTTATTTTAAGACTAATTTATGATAAATCTAAACTTTCTTCATCTAAACCACTTTTCGAACAGTCAAACATTTTACCGATAAAGTACAGAGTTATGTATAAGGTAGTTTGCCTAGTTTATAAATCATTAAATAACTTGGCTTCAGACTATTTAAGTAATATGTTCAAACCATTGTCAACAGTTTCATACCAGAAGCACTGCCAATATGGACTTATGCCAATATGGACTGTCTCCTGTAAACTTGAACTCGCAGGGAAGTTCCACACCGTAACCAGCCCCTAAGCGCGCGGACACCCCTTTTGCAAGCGAACACATTGGTGAGATTAATAGAGGTTCGACTGCATGTAATACGTTTGATATTTTTGATATCATGCTGACAGGCAAACACATAGACACACACGCATACAAACAAAGGTAATTACCTGTTCTTTAGTAATTTTACCCACAGAGAAATAGTATGACTTAGGATGAGCGAAGTAGATAGCACAAACAGATGATGCGGGGTACATGGCTAGGGACTCCGTTAGTATAATTCCAGTTTGGTTTTCACAATCCATTAAATTCCACATGGTCAGTTTTTCAGTGTGATCTGGTTGACTGGGATAGCCGGGCGCTGGACGGATTCCCTACATTAAAGATGACATTAAAGTTCTTAGAGGGTATATCGATTATAGACAGGTAAGCCCTGGTCAAAAGAAAATGAGAGCCCCCCCCCTTCATATATGCATTAAGAGATGAAGTAATTACCTGATATTTAATCATATGTAAATCTTTGGCTTGAAGTTGTTCTTCATTATTGTAACCCCAGAATTCCTTTCGAACTCGCTCATGGAGTTCTTCTGCTAACGCCTAAAAGTAGCAAAACTGGATCAATAAACGATGGAAATATAATTAAACTAGAACAATAGTTTAGAACTGATAGAGATATCCAGTGCAAATAAAGTTAGTTCATTTTTTAGCTTACACTCTAAAAACACCAGATTCCTGGTAACAATAACCAGAGTTAAACCAAATAGGGTTATTTCACTAAGTTAACCAAGAAATTTTAACCAGAGTGTTTTAAGAGTGTAGTTACTTAGTGAGCAACAACAACAACAACAACAACAACAACAACAACAACAACAACAACAACAACAACAACAACAACAACAACAACAACAACAGCAACAACAACAGCAACAGCAACAACAGAGCAGCAACAGCAACAACAGCAACAGCAACAGCAACAACAACAGCAACGATTTATTTGTACCCTTTGGGAATCATTTGTACAGCTCATAATAATACGAATTTAATATTAATTCATGGGTACTAGCTTTCAGAAACAGCGATTGCTAAAAATGCCTGATAATACCTCAGCAAGTCTATCAGCAAGAGCCTTGACCATAATGGAACTATAATCATCACCAGCTTCTTCATATCTGGAAACAAAAAAAATTCGTTCAAACGGACGCTATGACCAGAATATTCTACTGTACTTCCTTACTAATTTACATATATCACGTTGAAATATGCATGGGATTCAACTGTAAACAGTAAATTGTATTACGCGATGTTGTAAATCGCAAAATGTGAGAATAAGGTGGAGGAGGCTGGCGGAACAATAAGTATGAGAGAAATCTACGCATGTAGGTATCTCCAACACCATTCGGTCTGGTGAATGTCCCGGCCCACCTCAAAGGATCACTGGTAGAGCAACAAGATCTTGTATGTAGAGTATGGAACATGTTACCAAACTCTCTTAGGCTCAAGATCTTACGATTAGATGCTTTTAAGGAAAACTATATAATTATTATAAACATGCACTTAACAACTACCATGACATTGACGACCCTCGGACATGGAAATCAGTGTGTGTTAAGCCTAATATCGGTCGTAGCCTTGACCGAGATCTCACCTGTTGTTTCTAGTTTTTATAAGTTATCTGCTGACATTGTATCGTCTGAAGGTCCACAGTAATTAGCCTGTCTCACGGGGTACTGCCTTTTCCAAATCTGAGATTGTACGCAATGAATAAGGGATTTGCAGCCTAGACCTAGGCCTTTACTCGGCTGCCTTTGGCAGGTTTGGTCAATTTCGGGTTAGCATTTAGTAAGTATCGCCATGGTATCTTCTCATGTGAAAAAGCGCTGAATATTAAAAAATAATAAAAATAGAAGGCCTAGGTCTAGGCTGAGGGATTTGTATAACTATAATTGTGAGTATGATCATTATAAGTTAATTTACAGTTAAATACCTCAAAAATAGCGAATTTGGCCTTCGTGAGAAAGGCTAATTGGCTTTCCTGTTGTGGGTGCCCAGCGTTTTGTGTCTGTGTTTGTATTATCTGTGTCAGTCTCCATGTCTGTAAAAACATATTTGTATGCAGGCAAAGTTTAGAAAAAAACAGGTCCTTACTTCTTCACCAATTCCTCAGCGCCAAAACAAGAACACGCAAAGCAACCAACATAGTCTCGAACGCCAGTTTCCGAGGGCGCAACAAAATCAGACAGGCAAGCATAGGGGTCATCTGCCCCAGGCTCTTTCTCCGCTTGCTGCCTGAGACCGTAGAACACTGCCGCTACTTCTTGACAGCCGTCATCCTCGGGACGATATAAGTAGATGTCATCTCCAATACTGTTAGCAGGGTAGAAAGCGAGTTGAGCCACGGCACGAAAGAGTTTCTCATCCATAATTTTCTTCAGTAATACTTGAGCTTCATCAAATACCCTCTTCGCTTCCACACCTAAGAAATTTTATAAGCACTAAATATTAATCCTCGCAAATCTGCCGTGGTTTGTACTTGAAGTACACGAAAAACTACAGGCCACTTGGAGACTGTACTGAAAAATACTCCTGGACTATTTGGACTCAAAAACTTCAGTAAAAATAATGCACCCACATGCAGTGACTCAAAATTTTGAGTAAAATTACTTAAATTTATGAGTTTCAAATTTACTCAATTTTTTTTCTTCAAATTTACTCAATTTTTTTTTCAGATTCACTTTACTTTTGAGTAATTAAGATCACTTTGGGGGCATTATTGTATAAATTTGAGAAATACGATAATAAATAATCCAGAAAAGCAGACTTACCGACAGTTTTGTCGTTAAAAATCTTGGGATAACCGCGGTTCGGATATTTTCCTCGCAACTGCCAGACATCAAAGAATGGTTTCCAATCGATATATGGAATAATCCTCTCAATCTCGTAGTTATCAAACACTTCCGTACCAAGAAAGCTTGGGCGAACTATAAAACAACTGATATAAGCTCACTGTATCCCACGAATCGAAGCCCGGTCACAGAGATGACGAGAACATATATACCCCTTTGACACTATATTATTAAAACAGCCTTCCGCATATACGAGAGAAACTTGCTGAGGTGACCGCCTCGCGTGACGATTAACTCAGCAAGTTTCTCTCTCGTGTGCGGATAGTTTTAGCATAGATTATAGATCATACCAGATGTCTCACTCAGCCAAAATTGTGTCCGCGATCTTTTATGAGCACGCGTTGGCCGCCATTTTGGCAGTAAGTGTAATCCACGCCATGAAACGTGAGCAATCCATAGATATCTTATATACACTAGATAGTGCATCTAATTATTCTGAAATTCAAAAATTGAAGCCGTGATTGCAGTCTCAGGTCGTTCCCATAAAATGAGAAGATTCGTATGTTTTCTATTTCTTAAACAGGGAACTTAAACATTAAGTTAACCCTATTCCAAATACGTTTTTAAACTATTCAAATGAAGGAAGTTATTGTTGTTTCTAAGCGTTTATTAGCAAGTGGGAACGACCAACATGGCCGCCATCTATTCAAATGGGGGTAACCGCTGGAATATTCTTGGCTTCAATTTTACTAAAAGAGATGCGTTATCTAGTGTATATAAGATATCTATGGAGCAATCACGCATTTTGGCAGTGAGCGCCATTTTGGCCGTAAGTGTCGCACGCGTCATCTGGCGTGATAGCCTCGCGAAAATCGCGGACACGAAAATCATAGGGATAGATACACAGTGAGACATCTGGTATGATCTATAATCTATGGTTTTAGTGAGGATTTAACCTCTCGGGACCTTGATAGTGAGGCGGATATGTGTAAAATTATTGATCAGTACTTCTCGTTGATGTTAAAAGCATCAAACTTTTACAATTGATGTAGTTTTATTTGCTTAATAGATATTTGAAGTGGGGCCATCGCTATTTTGCTGCTAACTCCTGAAAACGGGTGATTAGTGATTTTCTTCTATTGAATGCTATTATAGCCAAAAAATGTGAAATTTTGTATTCAATTACAACAAATATGACTGCAACAATGTTGTTGTTGAGCAGTTCCCCCAACGTCTGTGGTGAAAATCCCTAGCTGAGCTACAATCTTGGACATAAATGGTTGAGACTACTTTTCTCTCTATACAAAATTCGCATACCCCTTATGATAAATTTCATGTTGAGTCATGTTCCGCTTATATCAACCCCCGCTCCCCCAACTCAATGTTGAGCTTGTGTAATTGTAAATTACCAGAAGTTGTTTCGGCGTTGTTTACAACATTGAACTTCATGGGGTGTTGTCCCAGATTGTATAGTAGCCACGCGAGGCGGTTAGGTCAGCAGGTTTCTCTCTGAATGCAATATACTACACAATCTACCTGATTTAAATGTTGTCCAGTCAAGAGCGAGTTTCTTGTTTCTTGCTTCAGTCAGGGTTAAATACCTACGGTCCTAAATAACAGTCAAAACTTGTTAGTCCATCTATTCATTTCTTGTTGTTATTTACGTGTGCCGTATGTCAGTAATAGAGACCTTAGGTTAGGGAGCTTAAGCATGTAGGACGGCAACACGACGACGACGGCCAAAACAAATTCCTTCAAATAAATGATAGTACAGAAAACTTGTCGTATATTATAATTCGTATGAATTTAATACAGTATAAGAAGTTGAAAACACTGGCTTTATGTTTGGGAAGAGTTCTATTGAACCGAATTTTAAGTTGCACTTGTTACGGCTTGAAATGCAGGCGTTGTACAAGACGTGAAAATCTGTGATTTGCCGTTGTAAACAGAGCGACGACTACGTCTGAAACTCCCCCGGGACTTTAATTATTTCTTTCTTTTCATTGACTCATTCTATTGGTTGCCGTCGTCGTCGTGTTGCCGTCCTACACGCTTAAGCTCTCTGGTGTTTGGCAGTCGACAACGGCAAATACAAAAACAATGAGAGTGCATGAGAGTCGATGAATGTTGACGGTCAAACGCGAGCGACAGTTGGAAATCTCATCCACTCTAATCGAGTTCGTGTGACCTGGAGTCTTAATGGTAAATGATAAAAAGATTCAAGTAATACCAGCTGGTGTACCTTTATACTGTCATAATGATCAGCACGTAAAAAGTCATAATCTTCAGTGATATCTTGACAGTATTCTTCTTTGTCTTCTTCATTAAGAAGCATTCCACACTGAGGAATAATAATAGACTGTTTATTACACTTTTGCCCCGATGGCCTCGTTTCCACATTTGACTTTTTTAGCATGCCATGCAGGCACATGCATAAAAGTTATATTCGTGCACAAATATGTTTGTCTTTAATCTTCAACCGAATCACAAGCTTGTCACTTATTTACAATGGATTACATTGCCTATTTGGGCAACAGTGCAAAACCAGTACAGTATATTGTATTGCATTAATACGGGTATTCGCGTAGGTATCCATAGTAGTTTCATTTACCACCTCAATCCTCACAAGAGGATTGAGGTAAATGAAACTGCTATGGGTACCTACACGAGTTCCAAATTTGTTCTCCTTGTCCAACAAAGGCCTTATTAGTCCAGTGTTAGCACAGGAGAACAATAAACTAAGCGTTAAACTGGATATAGCTCTATCAGTTCTAAATTGTTCTTCGTTGAGGTCCAGTAAGGGTCGTCCCTTAAAGTTTCAGAGTTACTACAGCTAATACTAGTAATAGTTGACACCACATCTGCTCCGGTTTGATGAACCTCTGCAATCTGTGTCTCCTTCCAACTGGGTGAACTGACAAACACCAGAAAGGTGGCTGCATTTTCTATGTTCGCACGTGTATCAGTGTTTGCCAATGGTGTTTGCATATTGCATTTTGCTAAATTCCTTTGAAATTCTGTTAAAATTCCATCATTTCCTTTTCATTACCGATACTACCTGCGGTAATTACCCGGAGATCCTTTGCGGCCTTAGACTCAGAAAACTGAGATTTTTTCCAATATAAAACCTTATACGAACACATGCACATACATATACGCGCGGGGGCTTCTATATATGACTCCTCGGGTTTTGGCCCTCTTATGAGCCATACAGTATAGTAGTTCTACCTCATTTCTGGGCTCATAAAAGCCCAGTGTTATTAGAGGAAGAAACGGAGCACCCAGAGGAAACCTCCGGTGTCTAGTAGAGTCAAAATGGAATCAATTTCTCACATGAAATTATAATCAGACAACTGCACATTGAATCGAAGCCTGATCGCAGATTCGCATCAATGAAAGACGCAAGCATCAACCGCTGTGCCTCCCATGTTAGAAATAATTGAATCTAACAAGGATGTTGTCTGCTAAATTAAATGACAAGGAACCTCAAATTCCAAGCAACAGGTCAAAAGAAGAACGTACCACAACAACACTTTTCGAAGCATCCAAAACGTGAATAGTCGGTTCAGAATACCTTGGGGAAATCCTTACTGCAGTGTGAGTTCTAGAAGAGGAAAAGATGTATTTGTTTATGTGGCATTTTATTTGTTTTCATGGCAAACCTGTCTCTGATATACTATTCTTTGAATGTTAGATGTTAATCGACACAACACAGTATAAATCTACTAACTTAGATGTAGTTGCACCACCAATAAGCAACGGTATTTTAAAACCTTGTCTTTCCATTTCTTTAGCGACATGAATCATTTCCTCCAAAGATGGAGTTATAAGTCCTGATAGACCAATAATATCTAAAATAGAAATACAGAACCATCAGTAAAAACTCTTAAAAAGACTGTAGGAAGAGTGTTTCGATGAGTGGGAAAAATGGCCATGCATGTCGCTGAACATTCTTGCATGGCATCGTGGGCTCAATAAAAATTTTCGCGCCCTTTCTGTTTTGCTTTACTTGATTTTATATTTGCCACAAATTAAGGCTCAAAACTGTAACTTTAATGTGTCCTAAATTATTGTTGAGTTATCTAGTATCATTTTCGGCCCTTTAGCCTTTTCTACCAACAAAAATCAAATTTTGCCGATCGTATCTCGAAATAATCTACAATAGCAGTTCACCTCATTAAGGGACCGGTCATTATTTATGGTGGGGGGTGGCACCGAAGAGAAATGTTTTTCGTGGTAAAAATTTTGCCGACCCAACCATTAAAAAGCAAAAAATTTGATTACCCAACCTCAAGTACCAATTAAAAAATAAATACCCACACCCCTGGCCAAAACCTTTACAAAAGAATACCATTCAGTTGTCACACATGTCCTTTACCACTTTTGTGACACAAGTTTGATAACTAAACTTTCATATTGTATGTACATGTACTTTCTTTGGAGACACCATTTGTCTCCCAACAAATCGGAAAATGATCAAGATAGTGACTCTGATTGATTCACATATTGTATTGACATATGACTGTTGACATTGCTTTTCAGTCTCCAATATTTAAGTGAGTCATGCTTTGGAAATGACAATAACTTTTTATTACCCAACCCTTGAGTTGTTTTGTTTTTCATTTACCCAACCTTTTAGTTACTCAAAATTTAGTTTACCCAACCCTTTTCTCTTCGGTGCCACCCCCCGCCATAAATAATGACCGGTCCCTAATATTCATGCTCAGTGATGACGAGCTACCGTGAGCTACCTTATCTTGCGTGTCAGTTTGTGGCAGCGATTACCGATCCTGAATTCAGTCAAGACTTCTCTATATAGTGCAGCAGAAAGGAGCCTTCATTCGAAAAATCGTTGTTGTACTTTTTCGGGTATAGTTGCATTAAGGTCCATTTCCACTCAAGAAAAATTTGCACGGACAGAAAATTTTCCGAAAATATCGTTTTTTTCATATTTTTTCCGACGGAAAATTTGTATCAGCCAATCACATTTTACCAAATTTATTCTCAGCGGAAAATTTTCCTGAGTGGAAATGTGCCTAAAGGCGGTTTTCCACTAGGCGAAATGTTTCGACCGAATCGAAATTTTCTTTTGTCTTACAAGCACTCAGATGGAACTAATCAGAAGTCTTTTGAATTTGAACAATAGAAATTTCGGTTCGATCGAAAAATTTCGCCTAGTGGAAAACCACCTTTAATATGTACAGAAACTGGAAAATCTTCAGTCAACAACTTTGCAAATCTGAGACTGGGTTCGACTCCAGTAGTATAATTTTATCTCAGTGGCGAAGCTAGCCATATATGGCAACTGGTCATGCTATGCTAATAAACCTGCATCTAAATAGTTTAAAGACAATAGATTTCGAAAAGTTTGAATACAAATATCTAAAAAATTTGCATAGCATGACCATGCAGTTCCTATGGTTAGCGTCGACACTAATTTATCTGCATGATAAAAATTTTGTCTCAATCGTGAGAGAAAATTTGATTGTCTGGTAAAGATTGGATCGATGCACGCCAAAATAAAATCTATTTGTTAATTGTTAATTTACCCGCTCGTTCGTCAATTGCGGTTTGTAAAATCTTTTCACAAGGCGTCATCACTCCAAGATCTATCACTCTAAAATGTTTCAAAAAATGAGATTTGAGGCTGTTTTTTTACGTAGACAAGCAGCTCCGCACAATATTCATTCAATGTTTACCTGTAGTTATTACATCTTAATACAACCCCAACGATATTCTTTCCAATATCGTGGACGTCTCCTTTGACTGTCGCTATGACAATTGTGCCATTGAACCGTTTCTGCGTGAAAAATACACATGTTCGAAGATTATGCTAACTCGTCAGTTTTTTAAAGATTTATACTTTAGCGGTTTATGGAAATATAAGTATAACATAAAAAAGAAGTATACCATGCTGTCCATGCAGTTTGGGGAATACATTATTTCTGTGGAGATAAGGAATGGTTGTGGCTAAAGGGGATGGACTACAGGCAGGTTTTCAAGATGGCCGCCAGTTTTCAAGATCATTAAAACGTAAAAGAATCAACAACCAGCCATTTGCAACAATACTAAATCTTACTCTTACACTCACCCCACACCTAACCCTAACTCACAAACTAACCCTAAAGCCGGTTACAGACGAGCAAGTTTTCTATGACAAGTCTTTATGTGACAAGTTTTATTTGGCAAGTGCAGGTGTGTATATGCAACAAATTTTATATGACAAGTTTTCATATGACAAGTTTTATTTGCTGGTGTGAACGTGTCAGGAAAAGGTGTTTATCGCCGCCATGAGAGAAAAATCACAATAGTCCGCTGGTCAATCACATCAAATGCTCAGATTACTTTGACAAGTTTTCTTTGTTGACAGACGAACAAAATTTGTACTTTGACAATTTTTTCTATGACAAGTGCACTTGTTCAAAAGCTAGCATGCTAGCTTTTGAACAAGTACACTTGTCATAGAAAAAATTGTCAAAGTTGTGCGTACAGACGAGCAAATAAAACTTGTCACATAAAAACTTGTTATAGAAAACTGGCTCGTCTGTAACCGGCTTAATACTAACGCAAACTCTTATTTCAATTTTGGAATCATCTCGTAAGCTACCTCTCGCCCATCCCTTTTAGACATTACCTATACGGAATAGCGGACCTCAGCTCTTTGTACGCTTGTGAAAATGTTGCCGATAATTATGGACGACACCTTAATATAGAAGCAGAAGAGTTTTTTCCCCAATACAAACTTACATTTTCATCCCACAATCCTTGCGCTCGCAATTCTTGTTCTTTTCCCTTTTTTTCTTCCTCAATGAAAGGTACAAGATGAGCCACAGCTTTCTTCATTACGCGAGCTGACTTGATCACCTATAATAAGAAATAAACATTTTAATTTACATTTTATGTTAATCGTTAATTGTCAATCTGATATTTGCACCCAATAATCCAAATATGATTTTAGGAAGAAATGTAATATATTTATAGTAAAAATCTCATCTTGATCAACTTTTTCATTATGGAAGCAAGTTGATCAAGATGAGATCTTTTACTACATATATCAGGATTTTGGCCGAGTGTAAATTATACACCTTTTTACCCATTTATAGCTAAAGAAAAACTGTTTTTTATACGATATCTTATTCTCAATGCAATGTTAATAAATAATCTTACCTGTGGTAAGAACATTTTCCCTGCTCCAAATAAATCACCAACGATTGACATGCCCTGATATTCAGTAAAAGAAACCCGAGTTAGTACAGATTTCATAGAAATTGTATCAGAGTTCTTGGATTGGTTGGAACACTTACGACATAAATATGAAAATTGAACAACATGGTACATCTCACCTTCATTAAAGGACCTTCAATGACTTTCAGAGGATGTGGATATCGTTCAAAATTTTGTCTGCATTCTTCAACATCCTCCACAGCATATTTATCGATACCCTAGGTCCATAAAAATGAATAAATATCAGGACTTTTGGCATCCCACTCGATATAACTAATTGTTGAAGAAATTTGTATTTGGAAATTTGGAATGGAATTTTTAAACATTTACAGGGTGTCTAAAAAAAAACGCTATGGAAATTCAACAGGCTGTCGTGCATCATATTCATAAACGTGGCTAAACAATTAAATTTTTACATACGACGAAAGAACAGACATTAATTATGCAAAGTTCGTCAATCCAAAAGAAACGCGAGCCTGCTGCAAGCCATTTGTTTCGTAAAAGGTTTTGATTACGAATGTTCTCTGTTCAGGGGTTAATTGAACCATGTTTAATGGACTTTTACTCGAAATTCCCATCATAGGAATGAATAGAATAGATTAGAATACGAAATTTGGAACTGATGGGAAGTATGATGCAATTATAATACTGTGTAAACCTACCAACCTTAACCAAAGCATATTCCAGTTTTTCTTCGGGGGATCCAGAACGCCATTCATCACTGACTTCTTGTTTCTTCGCTCCTTTACCCAGAGACTAAAAAATTGAAAATAGATTATCAAGAGAACTGGAAAAACTAAGCAGGATACCTCATACGTTTTTAACTGTTCTTCCTGTAGATCTAATACGAGTCATACTGTACTTTAAATCGTCAAGTGTTATCATGATGAGAAAACCTAAACTAAACCAATACTATGATAGCTGTATTAGTTCTTAACAGTTCTTCCTATACAGATCTAATAAGGGTCATTCTTTAAATCGTCAAGTGTTATCACGATGAGAAAACTTAAACTAAACCAATACTATGATAGCTGTATTAGTTCTTAACTGTTCTTCCTATACAGATCTAATAAAGGTCATGTGTTTGGTATTATTATTATTATAAAATACAGTATTCCCTACCCGGGCTTTTCAATACTTGTTTACATTTAAAATTTAAAATTTCTATATAAAAGTTCTATATAAAATATTTAATCTTTACAATAATGTTAATTCGTGGCCAGGCATATTTTTCAAGCTTGCCCGGTGTGGATATACACTCAGAGTAACATAACAAGCATCTTATTCACCTGAGTACATTACACCAACACAGAAAAAATCAATAATGTTAATTGTTTCTTAACATTTTCTTCCTCAACTCACTTTTGAATGTTTTTAAGGGTAATTTCTTCAAGTCGTTGTCTATGCTATTCCAAATCTTTACAGCTCTATAATGGAAACTCTTTTGCCCTGCCGCTGTTTTGTATGGTGGAATATTCAGATCTTCCTTATTCCTCGTGTTTAAATCGTGAATCTCGTTGCGTTTGAGGAAGATGGCGCTAGTTCATGCATACATTTATAAGTCATCAGTGAATCTCTATATTGAAGGTGTTCTCTAACTGGAAGTCAACTAATCGCCCGGAATGCAGGTGTCATGATATGATCATATTTTCTTGTGTTATCGTATATAGAGTCAAACTGGAGGTACTCATCTCACAACAACCTGCAAACGGCATTCAATAAAGTCTGGCCAACAAACCTGTGCATGCTGCAGTAGTTTTTCTGTGGCGTTTGGATCAGTATTCCATAATACGGCTTCACAGAGTTCCAGCAATCTTTTATCAATGTCGTCATACACAGGCAGATTTCCCGCGTTCACTATCGCCATATCAAGGCCAGCCTGGTAGGTCAAAAATAATATTGGACTTAATCTCCGGTCAAACAATAATGAAAGTTAATGACGAGTTGAGATGCGAGAGTTTGCATGACTCGTGTCCGTTCAAACGAGAACAAGAGTTGCACGAGAGTTGAAGAGAGATGTCTGGATATATCTGGATGTCAAAGACTCAAAAATCCCACAAACTCTCATCGAAATTTGAACCGGCTCAAAGTTGAGAGTTGGCGGTCAACTTCGTTTGGGCGGGGCTTTAAATAAAGGGTTTTGATTGAAACAAGTGATGTTTTCGACTAAATGAAAAGTTCGGTAAGATGTTTCTTTTTTGCGCTCAGCCGTGAGGGACTATTACTCGTAATGTACAAATGGAATCGAACATAGGCCATGTACATGTGCACTTGTTGCAACTTGCAATGCAACTTCGCAGGAAAATTCCGAGAATGGCCCCCAGGCCCAGTTTTCTCTGCTGACATTCATTGTTCATCCTATTTCTTTCATTTTTTGTTTAAGGGAAACTCGTAAATAACTCATGAAGAAAACACAAAAGAAATCATGAGCGTGAAGGAGTTTGTATATCTGATACAGAATCGTGCTGATTTACATAACCTTTAAGTTCAATTTTCTCACCAAATATCGTTCATTTATTTTAAATTGTTGAAGAATATAAATGTTCTCATCAAGATATTTCACAAGTCATTTACAACACGGCTGCTCATATTGTAAATAGTACATGCAAAGAAGTTGTTCGCATAGTAGAATGCGGACCATGCTCACAATTTTCCCCGACGACTGCTTCAAACTTCGACCTTGATAATTCTTATATCATGCTCAACCCCATTCAATAAGTGTTAATTATTTCATAGTCTGCTCTTTGAAGAAGCAGTCTTCATAGATTTTTCTTTAGCGTTTTACCTTGATAGCGTGATAAAGAAAGACACTGTGCATCGCTTCTCTGATTACATCCAGACCACGAAATGAGAACGAGAAATTCGACAACCCTCCACTGACGCGAGCATGGGGTAGGTTGGTCTAAATAAGAAAAACATATTACAGTTACAACATCGTATAGCGACAATGTTAAAATTAAATTCTGATCCAACATTTTCCAATATCAGGTTTGGGGGACATTCCTTATCGGTCCAACGTTACTAGAGGAGGAAACTAGAATATACTACCGGGTGTCCAAAAAAAACTGGACACTGTTTGAAACGTAAAAGCTATAAAAGCTATCGCAATGAAATAAAGATCATTGCATTCAGAAAGGACTAACTTAGAATTTGATATATAGCACTTGAAAATGTCAAAAATTAGCATAAAACAACAACCTTATAATTACCGATGTAGTTATACTTGTTAAATAATAAATATTTTTATTTTGGTTGTATCTCGCTCAATATTGCATGTAAATTCAAGTGTTATATATCAAAATCTAAGTTAGTCCTTCCTGAATGCAATGATCTTTATTTCATTTACAAATTTAAGTTACATGATATCAAACAGTGTCCAGTTTTTTTTGGACACCCGGTAGATGAAACTCGCGGTGTCTGATAGAGTCAAACTAGAAGCACTCTTCTCACGAGCGACTGTGATGAAATATCATATAATTAAACAACTGTATATCGCAGTGATTAAACCCCAGTGAGTCACACGTCCTAACCACTACGAGAGATGCTCTTACCGGCCCCCTCCCCTCCTCCCCATCGAACATCGTACACCTACCTTTATAAACGTTGTAGCCTCGATAAAATACTTTCCATAATTATTGTGTTCTTCAATGCCAGTGGCAACGGTTAAGATATTGGGATCAAATATGATATCATTTGGATTAAACTTCACTTCGTTGACCATGATATGATAGGCTCGAGTACATATCTCTACCTTTCGATCACAATCAGCAGCCTAAAATTGTTGCAAATTAGAAAGTGAAGTTTGTCCTTGGGCAATGTCCATTCGTCCCACAGATTTTCGCATTAAGGGACTGGTCATAAAGTAACTGCTAGAGTGGGCTGGAGGTAAATCAATAAGTTTGGTGACCCATCTTAGGATGTAGATAAAAATTTCAAAGCCCATCTAATCTTGCCAAAATTATTTCATGACCCACTCATGCACCCAATCTACAGTAAATTGGGAAAATACAATTTTATAACAAAAAAAACTTGCAGGTATGAACATTGTAAATATACACCGGCACTGTATTGACATACATAATTCCACCAAGCTTGACCAACACATTCATCGCCAATTACGATACTGAATTGCTCTCCACTCTCCAGTTGGTTGTATTTGCTGTGATTCGACCACTTCTTGTTGTTGTATAAAACAAAGTACTGCTTCAATAGCATCATTTGCATTTGATAATTTGAATAGTTTTGTTTACTTTTATTATTAATATCTTTATGTAATATATTTAACATGGGTTTTTGTTTGGTGGCCCAACCGTGGACATACCAAAAAATTGGCGGCCCATCGAAACTGCCCAAAGATTTTCCATGGCCCATCCCAAATCACTCCAGCCCACCCTAGCAGTTACTTTATGACCGGTCCCTAATACGTTTGATATTTTTGCTGACCGACAAACACACCGTCACACATACAAACGCGGTTACAAAGGCATACCTGACCCGTTTCATCGAACGCCATAATAACAGCAGCGCCACCATATTTCTTGATCAAGGAGGCTTTCTCAATAAAATCTTTCTTGCCGTTCTTTAAACTAATACTATTCACAATGCATTTGCCCTGAGTGCATTTTAAACCAGCTTCAATTACGGCGAAATTTGATGAGTCGATACAAAGAGGAACCTTTAAATAAAAGTGAAGAAATGGTAAAAATCAATTTTCAAACTCAACGAATAAAATATAAGACAGTCAGCCAAAATATTAATTTGAAACCCTCTACATGTATATCTACTCACGGGACTTAGCGATACGGTCTGTTAGAAAAAAAACTGGAATTAGCTGGGGAAAGAGGCATGAAAACTGTTTACGATGTTTACGAAAAATTTCTTAACGTCGTTCGATTACGAACAGAAATCACTGATAGCATAGCGCCTACCGGTAGTCGCAAAAATCTTGAATTCTTGATAAGTCCCGAGTGCAGACGCCCCTATTTATATGAAGTAACTATACCTTTGCAATCTCAGGTTCAGATGCAATCAGGTTAACAAATTTTGCCATGGCTGCAACACCGTCCAGGAGACCTTCATCCATATTGATATCCAGAACTTGAGCGCCATTTTCAACTTGCAATCTCGCGACATTCAACGCTTCCTTAAAACAAATTTATTCATTTTATGATTCATTTTATAACTGCATAGCAACACGAAAAATGTTTTCTATTTCTTAAATTTTTATTTAATTTTTATTTAATTTTTATTCACATAGAACATACTTCATACTGTCCCTCTCTGATAAGCTTAGCAAAACGACGAGAACCTGCAACGTTGCATCTTTCACCAATATTGAGGAAAAGCGAGTCACTTGAAACAAGTGTCCTCTCGAGACCTATATAAAAGGAACAAGTGCAAGCATGTTTCTTTTCCAGGTACAATTTTTTTTTCATTTTTAAAACTTTCTCTCCTGCCAATATTTTTTCTCATTGATACCTGATAGCAGAAGTGCATCGCTGTGGAGATCTTTCGGTGGAACTCTCGGCTTGTATGGAGTGACAGCCTCCTTTATAGCTCTGGAACAGTTGCAAGAAATATAGTTATACAGGGTGTATAAAAAAAAACTGAACAGATTTGAAATAGCTCTCAATTTCGCAAAATACCTATTTGTATCCGGTTTTTTATATATATAGCTTCTTTGGGTACTTATAATGTAGAATAATGAGAAAAATTTCTCAAACTCAAATTTTGTGAACCAGGGGGTGTCTTTTCCAACAAATTAAAAATGGCTCGCGCACAAAATTTAAAATTTGTAATCATATTTTGAGTTAATAGATGGAAACTTTGTTGGGTTTTTAATTACTGTACAAAATTTCAGACAATTTGGTTTAGTTTAAGGCCTTTAAGGCCATTTTATTCTAAAAAATCAGCCTTTCGCATGCTTAATTAATGCCTCTACCTAATTTGCATATTGCTGACATATGCAAATTAGTAGCTGATTTTTAGGAAAAATGTAACTTTGCGTGAATAGTTAAAGGGCTTAAACTAAACCAAATTATCTGAAATTTTGTACAGTAATTAAAAACCAGACAAAGTTTCCATTTATTAACTCAAAATATGATTACAACTTTTAAATTTTGTGCGCGAGCCATTTTTAGTTTGTTGGAAAAGACACACCCCCCGGTTCACAAAATTTGAGTTCGACAATTTTTTTTCATTATTCTACATTATAAGTACCCAAAGAAGCTATATATATAAAAGACCGGATACAAATAGGTGTTTTGCGAAATTGAGAGCAATTTCAAATCTGTTCAGTTTTTTTTTATACACCCTGTATTAGAGAATTCTTACATTCAATATGGATGCCCATACTGTACTCCATAGTCTATAAAGATATGATGGACAGAAGTCACTGTGTTATGTTTCCGTCTAAGTTTATTTTAATTTGTGCACAGTCACGGTGAGTGAGCTCATTGTATTTTCGTATAATGAAGGAATTGTCCAATAGGGATAGCTGAGATGAAACGTGCACCGCGATGAGTAATATTTAATGAAGTTGAGACAAAGGGTTTGTGCACGGTGAGAGGTAGTGAGGTACAGTTCAACATCAAACAAAAGTCAGAAATTTTGTGCCTTTGAAATTTATCAGCTTCCAGACCATCATATCTTGACAGACTATGGGATGCCAAAATAAAATTCAAAGATAGTCTTACTTAATATGTGCCGGGGTCGTACCACAACATCCTCCAACTATATTTACCAAGCCATCGCTTACGAATTGCTGAAATCATCAAAATTATTCAGAAGTTACACACGCAACCACACAGCAGCTTACATCGCCCAGCATTTTGAAATAGTCAATCGTCCTATAGCCTGCGTGCAGGCCCAAGGGAACTGATAGTGGGCCTGCAACCATCACCCCATGTTTTCGATTTTCGCCGGCCGAACCGCCGGCTAAATTCCCATTGGCTAGCTGAGGCGATCGGTAATTAATTAACCTATCGTACAGGCCCAAGGGAACAGTGATTCATCACAAAGGCATAAACAAAGGCTCTCGATAAGCTTAAAATTTGAAAATTGATCACTTTTCGATTACAAATGGAACAAGAACAGACTGTTTATTGTTTACTTGAAGGAAGACATGTTTTTGCCGTTATGCCAATGGGGATTGCTTCTCGTGAGGTGTTGGAATAGCAAATTACGACTGGGGTAAACTATAGTAACCTTTACTTGAGTTTCATAAATTTCAAACAGACTTCAGTTCATGTGTTCTCACTTCCTCAAGAAAATTATCTTTTGGTTGATGTTAAGATGCAGTTGCATGTAAGGACTGTAAGCCTATTCGAAACACTTTGCGATTTACAAGGCATCGCTGAGAGAGCGAAACAGAAGGCGGTATTAAATTGCCGTTTGAAACGAAACGATCTGGACTCGGAACGCTCTCTTCTTTTGTAGAGTTCTTTACCAAATGAAATAAATGAAATAAATTTCGTACTTTCCGCCGCCAACAAGAATTGCACACACGATCTGATAAGTGAGACAATTTATTTATAACAATGCCAATGGCGACAGCGAAGCACACATAATATAAATCCTAATGTGGTCGCACGACTTCCCTCATGATTTGAAGTTTGAGACTGGTTTTCTGTTGAAATTCGTCCTAATTTGCCTGTTCCGATTTTAGTTGAAAATGAGCACTTGCAAATTTGGCAATTACTGACTGCGTTGCTTGCTTTTTTGGAGTTAAAACGCAGCCATTTACACATTGTTTTAATATTAGTGTTCTGAATAAGCAGAGAAAACCCCACAAATTTTAATGCGAGTTTGTTTGTTAATATTTGGGTGCTGTCATTGGTTCATTTTTGACAATTGACGCGCGAATGGGGCGTGTTATGAAATGGGGCGTTTTACAAAATACCGGGCGATGGTTGCAGGCCCACTATCAGTTCCCTTGGGCCTGCACGCAGGCTAATCGTCCTACCTTTAGGTAAGCAGCAGTCATTTCAGGTAGTTCATCGTAGCCTCCAAAAGTATTTGGAAGACCTAAAAATGGAGACATTTGCAATAACACTTAAAATCTATGGTCCCAAATTAGCTGGTGACACAGATTTCATGAGTTGGTATATGTACAGCGACTTTTACAGTTCGTCGTGTTTTTTTGTTATACAGCTGATTCAATTAAGGTTGTCCTTCCAAAACCTTAAACTCTGAGTGTGCAAGGGATGATGGGTTTTCACCTATAGGCCCTTAAATTCAGAAAATTGCCTTTGCTATGTCTTAGGTATTCTTGCAAAGTCAAATCTCAAAGTTTATGAGTCTAAATAAGCAATAACCCATCATCCCTTGCGCGCTCAGAGTTTACGGTTTAAGTGTTTGGAAGGACAACCTTAATTGAATTAACTATATGTTATTGATCTTTAATGTTAAATAGATCGAAACTTATATGGGATGTCGGTCATGTTGTTCATTTCTTCAATCGCATCTTTTTTGTTTTTATCAAAATGTAGTATATAATTGTTGAGCTAATAGCAAGAAGTCTGCAAATCTACCACAAAAAGCTTGTATGGTCACGCGAGTAAATGTTCGAAGGATTCGTGAATGGTTTATTTAAATTTTACCAGCATTAGGATAACAAATGATGTAACGATCGGTCTCCATTGAAAATGACTCGATGAACGGTCTCATTTCCACAGCTCCCAAAGCACAATTCAGACCAAGACTAAAAGAAAAAAAAATTTGATATCAAAGCCAGTTTGAAAGATGAATTCATGAAGATAAACGATAATATTATGAGGATGAACGAGTATACATCATCAGTATAAATAGGTTCTATGGCAAACGTAAAAAAGCTCGGGTATAAATAAAAAATAAACATTGTATTGCTTAGTTATTCAGCAAGTTCATTCGCAACTTAGTGGGTACTTTAACTTTCGGTATAATATATAATTGATATAGGCCCTCTGCTCGGGGGATTTGGCGAAATATCATCACTTCGGATAACATTTGGTCGACCCCCCCCCCCCTCGCTCCGGATCTACAAAGATAAAAATTCCATTACAGACTTTTTCCCAATAAGTTGTTACATGTTCAACCAGAAATTGTACAACAAGCCTTGTGGTATGCCAAAACTTATACTGAACTAGAGATTGTTGTTCGGAAAAAATGGGAATAAATCCCCAAAAAAAAATTGTAACGATTTTGGTTTAATATTTGCCTAGAGAAGCAAAGAATATCCCGATAGTTGAGCATGTGCATAGTTGCACATGTATTGAGAAAGTCGGCAACGGAATTTTGCAAAACATTGAACTTTTTTGGCTTGTATTCAAACTATTGGCAAGTAACTGTATATGAATATATTCAATATTACTAAGCTATAGCACTGGAAAATATTTTGAAAATCAAAATAAAGGAAATTGTATGGACAAAGTTGGATTAATAATTGTATATTTCCATACTATGGATATAGTATATCGAAATGGTATGGATACACTAGTTATGGATTTAGTGGTGCAAATGCAAATGTCATAATATGGATTTAACATTTTTTCCCCAGTGTAGTGAACCTACCACATTGGTTCAGCATGAGATACGCTGGTTATAAAACCTTCAGCAGTTTGACCTGACAACGTACGTCCGCTTTTATCAACAATCGTTCCAGAAACCTGAAGGAAACAGTTTGTTAATGTTTTAAAAAAATTGTCATCTCTTATGCTATTGATCAGTACATTATATGTTACGAAGATTTGTGTTTTTATCATCCAACCCAAAATTGATACTTACAAAAACTGGAACAGGTTCATAACTTTCGAATATTGTACTGATAGCAAAAAGAGCTGCCTAAAGTGAAAAGATTCAGACAGGATAAAGACACCATCAATCTATAGAAAAGTGTAGACTATTGTGTTGAAATTGAAGCCAGCCATTATACTAGTCTAAGACACCAACTAGGAACTACTCCAACATATTATAAGGTACAAATTTCTGGTTTGAGATGCTTTCCATGCCAAAATAATGAACAGTTATCAAGTTAATAGAACGAGACATGTTCCCGCACGGTACGTTTGGAGTAGCTTCATTTTTTGCTGTAGTGTAATGCAGTTATAGCTTTTGCGATCAGTGGGTGAGAATGCCCATTATCAAAACTTTACCTTAGCATTAGCTGTATCAAACACGGTCTCCACCAATAAAATATCTGATCCACCATCAAGCAATCCTCGTACTTGTTCAGAATATGCTTCAACAAGTTCATCGAACGCTGTGGGCAAGAAAACAACAAACACAATCGATTATAAGAATTTTCGCTTGTACAAGCATCAATTATACACAGACAGGGTTTCCACCCTTTAGCGAAGATGAAATTCAAGGAATTATCTCAAACTCATATTTTGCTCACATGATAATACTGGATACCTGTAGGGCGAAGTATATTGACCCAGTCCTAGGACTGGATGAAGATTAATTCAGTCCTAGGACTGGATCAAAATTAATTCACCTCATTTTAAGTAGTGATTTATTCGTATGAGATGTCATTTCAAATTCTACAATTCGGACTGGATTAGATTTCAAGTCCTCGCATTTTGATCCAGCCCTCGACTTCGCCTCGGATTTGAACAAATTTCACGGACTTGAAATCTAGTCCTGTCATCATTGTCGGATTTGAAATATTACTACAAGGATGTTTTTTAGTAGATTGAAGGACCTGAAACCGGAAAAATCTTTCGATATGGCACGGATTTTAATTTGCTCTTTGAAACACTACTTATTCAAAATCAATAGTCTAAATAATGTTCAAGTATTAGCCGCATAGCTGGAAAGAAATTCCAGGGCTTTCAAGAAACTGCACTAATTTTCAAGAACTTTCCAAGCCTGGATTTATGTTTTTTCAAATCCAAGGACTTTCCTGGATTTTCAAGGCCCGTGGATACCCTGATACAGAAGAATTATCAGAATTATTAATTTCCATTCTTTGCTCGATTTCTTCCATACATGTCCTCCGTCTCTACTCTCTACTCTTATTGAGTCACTTACTAATATTTCGATATCCTGGATTTTCGACAGAAGGTGACAGAGACAATGTCTTGTTCGTTGGTCCAATAGCACCAGCCACAAAACGAGGAATACCTGTACAAATAATTCATATCAGACACTTTATAAACAAAGCCAAAGACACTTTATAAACAAAGACACTTTATAAACATATAGGAAGCGCAAATACAATTGCAGGACAACACGTAACTTTGCCGTACCAGATGATGTTTCTACTTCTTGTGCTGCTTTCTTGGCCAGTTGAGCTGATTCTTTATTCAGACGATATACCTGAAGAAATTTGGGGTCATTACATTTCAATCATAAGCAGGGTTTTCTGTATTGTGTGAGGCTCTGGCTAATGGCGATGAAGCTATGGCGATAGATATTATTTCTACCGATAGAATTTACAAATTTGGGCGAGTACACATAATAGAGACGTAACTAAACGTAAAAGCTCTGGCGAATTTGGGTGGGGTTGAATAAAACTGAAAACCCTGTATAAGTACTGTAAATTTCCGACAAGCCCTGACGAAAGGTGCATGGGAGCATCTCCTATCCTAACCCATTCCATTTTTACAACTAACTGGTCGACAGGGCTGCAAATGAATATTTGACTTGACAGGATATTTGTCCGATCACTTTTAATTCTGGTCGGACATAACTTGAATTTTTGGTCGCCGCAAAAACCAACACCACTAAATTTGGTCGGACATATATACGTCACAAGATATATATAAGTCACGAGACAAGTATGTATAGCCATTCCGGCGCAACGTTAAGTAAAATGCTAGAATGCCTCGTAAATTTTATTGCAAAATGCAAATTGACTGAATTTGCAATCGGATTTTGTCACAGCAAAAAGGTATGTGACAATCTTTTTTGTGATCTGACCAAATACTTTTGCTCGGACATTTGCCAAATTTAGTCGGACATTGTCCGATGTCCGACAGTAATTTGCAGCCCTGGGTTGATGAGCAATATTCATCATAATGAACAAGTTCTTATTATCTTGTTACAAGGTTGATGAAGGTAACAGACTTTCTACAGGTTGTTCCAACAAGACTATACTACAAGCTGTTCGAAACAAGTTGCTATACGAACATGTTGTCATCAACTTGTTAACAGCTGGTTACATCAGGCGATGTCATACCCGTCGGTACTAACTTATTGCGGGTCTGTTGGCCCCTTCAACCATGTTACAAGATGATAACAACTTGTTTAACGCCTGTATTATAAAAGCTCACTCACGCTCACACTAAAAAAGTGGAGGTTCAATCCGAGCTTCCTCTGAATGTCATTGCTGTTTTTGAATATCTGGGGCCGGTTGTTCAAAGCTGGGTTAGCTTAACCCTAGGTTAACGCAAAATTCAAATCAAACTTCTTGACAGCTTGTCTATAAATTTGGAAATATTTCTTCAGAGATCTTGTCTGAATCGATAAGAGTTTACTTTTCTGAAGTTTTGAAATAAACAGACGTGCAGAAATATACAAACTATAAAACAGCAGGTTAAATTTTAACCCAGGGTTAGCGCTAACCCACCTTTGAACAACCGGCCCCTGGAGGGTTAGTGTCGTACCTTACTATGTAACTACTCACCCTCCAGCTATTCAAAAACAGCATTGACAATCAAGGGAAGCTCAGATTGAACCTCTTTTAGAATACAGGCGTAAAACTTGTCAACGACTGGGTAAAGCTGTGCGAACACATCTTGTTCATGACAACTGGGGTATTTTTACGCATGTACTGAACCATAGAATAAAGATCCATATAGAAAGGCCACTTACGTCGGAAGCATTGAAGTTTCTGTCCTCGCGCATGTCGCATTACGCATGTTGGCCGCCATCTTCCTAGCCAGTCAATGACATTTTCTGGCCAATAAACACGCTGTACTGGCTGGCTGCTCCGCCTTCTGGCCAGTAAACTGCATATTTTGCATAAAAAAAACGAGGACACGTTGCA